AGGTTTCAAGACTGGTCATTCAAATGAGACTGCTCTTCTCTGTGTCACAGAGGCTCTCCACACTGCTAAAGCTAACTCTCTCTCCTCTGCTCTTATCCTTCTAGACCTATCTACTGCCTTTGATACTGTGAACCATCAGATCCTCCTCTCCACCCTCTCTGAGTTGGGCATCTCCGGCGATGCTCACTCTTGGATTGCGTCCTACCTGACAGGTCGCTCCTACCAGGTGGCGTGGTGAGAATCTCTCTCCACACCACGTGCTCTCACCACTGGTGTCCCCCAGGGCTCAGTTCTAGGCCCTCTCCTATTCTCTCTATACGCCAAGTCACTTGGCTCTGTCATATCCTCACATGGTCTCTCCTATCATTGCTATGCAGATGACAGACAATTAATGTTCTCCTTTCCCCCTTCTGATAACCAGGTGGCGAATCGCATCTCTGCATGTCTGGCAGACATATCAGTGTGGATGTCGGATCACCACCTCAAGCTGAACCTCGGCAAGACGGACCTGCTCTTCCTCCCGGGGAAGGACTGCTCGCTCCATGATCTCGCCATCACGGTTGACAATTCCATTGTGTCCACCTCCCAGAGTGCAAAGAACCTTGGCGTGACCCTGGACAACACCCTGTCGTTCTCCGCTAAAATCAAAGTGGTGACCCGATCCTGCAGGTTCATGCTCTACAACATTCGCAGAGTACGACCCTACCTTACACAGAAAGCGGCACAGGTCCTAATCCAGGCACTTGTCATCTCCCAGCTTATCCAGAACGCTGGTGTTCAACCTTCCCAAGTTCTCTCATGTCACCCCGCTCCTCCGCACACTCCACTGGCTTCCAGTTGAGGCTCGCATCTACTACAAGACCATGGTGCTTGCCTACGGAGCTGTGAGGGGAACGGCACCTCCTTACCTTCAGGCTCTGATCAGACCCTACACCCAAATGAGGGCACTACGTTCATCCACCTCTGGCCTGCTAGCTCCCCTACCTCTATGGAAGCACAGTTCCCGCTCAGCCCAGTCAAAGCTATTCACTGCTCTGGCACCCCAATGGTGGAACAAGCTCCCCCACTTGCACAATTGGTGGCTGACTAAATACTTTTTTCCCCCACTGTAGCTCCTTTGTCCCTTTGTGCCTCCAGTGATGCTATCTCTTTCATTGTTACCCAACGCTTAGGTTTACCTCCACTGTACTCATATCCTTCCATATCCTTGTCTGTACACAATGCCCTGAATCTATTCTACAACGGCCGGAAATCTGCCCATTTTATTCTCTGTACCCAACGCACTAGAAGACCAGTTTTTAAAGCCTTTAGCTGTATCCTTATTCTACTCCTCCTCTGTTCTTCTGGTGATGTAGAGGTTAACCCAGGTCCTGTAGCCCCAAATATTACTCTTACTCCCCAGGTGTTATCATTTGTTGACTTCTGTAACTGTAAAAACCTTGGTTTCTTGCACGTTAACATCAGAAGCCTCCTCCCTATGTTTGAGTTATTCACTGCGTTAGCACACTCCACCAACCCTGATGTTCTAGCAGTGTCTGAATCCTGGCTTAGGAAGGCCACCAAAAATTCAGAAATGTTCATCCCCAACTACAACATTTTCCGTCTAGATAGAACTGCCAAAGGGGTTGGGGTTGCAATCTACTGTAGATATAGCCTGCAGAGCTCTATCATACTATCCAGGTCCGTGCCCAAACAGTTTGAGCTTCTACTTCTAAAAATCCACCTTTCCAGAAATAAGTATCTCACTGTTGCCGCTTACTACAGACCCCCCTCAGCCCCGAGCTGTGCCCTGGACACCATATGTGAACTGATTGCCCCCCATCTATCCTCAGAGTTTGTACTGCTTGGTGACCTAAACTGGGATATGGTTAACACCCCGGCCAACCTACAATCTAAACTAGATGCCCTCAATCTCACACAAATTATCAACGAACCTACCAGGTACCCTAAATCTGTAAACATGGTCCTCCGCTGTCTTCAACCAGTATCAAACACCTCCGCTGTCTTCAACCAGTATCTCAGCTATCACTGCCTTATTGCCTGCGTCCGTAATGTGTCCGCGGTCAAACGACCACCCCTCATCACTGTCAAATGCTCCCTAAAACACTTTAGCGAGCAGGCCTTTCTAAATGACCTGGCCCGGGTATCCTGGATGGATATTGACCTCATTCCATCAGTAGAGGATGCCTGGTTGTTCTTTAAAAGTGCTTTCCTCTCAATCTTAAATAAGCATGCCCCATTCAAAAAATTCAGAACTAAGAACAGATATAGCCCCTGGTTCTCCTCATACTCGACTGCCCTTGACCAGCACAAAAACATCCTGTGGCGTACTGCATTAGCATCGAACAGCCCCCGCGATATGCAACTTTTCAGGGAAGTCAGGAACCAATATACACAATCAGTTAGGAAAGCAAAGGCTAGCTTTTTCAAACAGAAATTTGCATCCTGTAGCACTAACTCCAAAAAGTTTTGGGACACTGTAAAGTCCATGGAGAATAAGAGCACCTCCTCCCAACTGCCCACTGCACTGAGGCTAGGAAACACTGTCACCACCGATAAATCTATAATAATCGTGAATTTCAACAAGCATTTTGCTATGGCTGGCCATGCTTTCCACCTGGCTACCACTACCCCGGCCACCAGCTCTGCACCCTCCGCTGCAACTTACCCATGCCCCCCCCTGCTTCTCCTTCACACAAATTCAGACAGCTGATGTTCTGAAAGAGCTGAAAAATATGGACCCCTACAAATCAGCTGAGCTAGACAATCTGGACCCTTTCTTTCTAAAATTAGCCGCCGAAATTGTCGCAACCCCTATTACTAGCCTGTTCAACCTATCTTTCGTAACGTCTGAGATCTCCAGAGATTGGAAAGCTGCCGCGATCAACCCCCTCTTCAAAGGCGGTGACACTCTAGATCCAAACTGTTACAGACCTATATCCATCCTGCCCTGCCTTTCGAAAGTATTTGAAAGCCAAGTTAACAAACAGATCACCGACCATTTCGAATCCCATCGTACCTTCTCCGCTATGCAATACGGTTTCCGAGCTGGTCATGGGTGCACCTCAGCCAGGTTCAAGGTCCTAAACGATATTATAACCGCAATCAATAAAATACAGTACTGCGCAGCCGTCTTTGTCGACCTGGCCAAGGCTTTCGACTCTGTCAACCACCGCATTCGTATTGGCAGACTAGATATCCTTGGTTTCTCAAATGACTGCCTCGCCTGGTTCACCAACTACTTCTCAGATAGAGTTTAATGTGTCAAATCAGAGGGCCTGTTGTCTGGACCTCTGACAGTCTCTATGGGGGTGCCACAGGGTTCAATTCTCGGGCCGATTCTATTCTCTCTGTATATCATAGATGTTGCTCTTACTGCTGGTGACGCTCGGATCCATCTCTATGCGGACAACACCATTTTGTATACATCTGGCCCTTCATTGGACACTGTGTTAACAAACCTCCAAACGAGCTTCAACACCATACAACACTCCTTCCGTAGCCTCCAACTGCTCTTAAACACTAGTAAAACTAAATGCATGCTTTTCAACCGAACGCTGCTTGCACCCGCCCACCCGACTAGAATCACTACTCTCTGCGGGTCTGACCTAGAGTATGTGGACAACTACAAATACCTAGGTGTCTGGTTAGACTGTAAACTCTCCTTCCAGAGTCACATTAAGCATCTTCAATCAAAAGTTACATCTAGAATTGGCTTCCTATTTCGCAACAAAGCCTCCTTCACTCATGCTGTCAAACATGCCCTCGTAAAACTGACTATCCTACTGATCCTTGACTTTGGCGAATTCATTTACAAAATAGCCTCCAACACTCTACTCAGAAAATTGGATGTAGTCTATCACAGTGCCATCCGTTTTGTCACCAATGCCCCATATTCTACTCACCATTGTGACCTGTACACTCTTGTTGGCTGGCCCTCACTACATGTTCGTTGCCAAACCCACTGGCTCCAGGTCATCTTTAAATCACTGCTAGGCAAATCCCTGCCTTATCTTTGCTCACTGGTCACCATAGCAACAACCATTCGTAGTCTGCACTCCAGCAGGTATATCTTACTGGTCATCCCGAAAGCCAACACCTCATTTGGCCGCCATTCCTTCCAGTTCTCTGCTACCAATGACTGGAACGAACTGCAAAAACCTCTGAAGCTGGAGACTCTTATCTCCCTCACTAACTTTAAGCATCAGTTGTCAGAGCAGCTTACCGATCACTGCACCTGTACACAGCCATTCTGAAATTAGCCCACCCAACTACCTCATCCCCATATTGTTATTTATTTTGCTAATTTGCAACCCAGTATCTCTATTTGCACATCATCTTTTGCACATATATCATTCCAGTATTAGTTCGAAATTGTAACTATTTTGCACTATGGCCTATTTATTGCCTTACCTCCATAATTTACTACATTCGCAACACACTGTATATATATTTTCTGTTGTATTTTTGACTTTATGTTTTGTTTACCCCATATGTAACTCTGTGTTGTTGTTTTTATCGCACCACTTTTGCTTTATCTTGGCCAGGTCGCAGTTGTAAATGAGAACTTGTTCTCAACTGGCTTACCTGGTTAAATAAAGGTGAAATAAAAAATAAAATAAAAACATCGCCCACTGTATGCACTTTCCGTAGCCTGATTGCATCCAGATTGAGGAAAAATCTACACGTCCCTGATCTGAACACAGTCAGACCACAATGACCACCTTTCATTCTTTCTTTCTTTTCAATTCAATATATGTATTCTGATAGCAGAAGTTGCATGTAAGTATCAAGTGTAGACACGGCCTCAGAGTGGAGTGGTTTTTGTTTTAAAACAGTATTGTTATAATTAACAAAAATAGTCTATCAAAAAAAGTCAGACTGTCTCTAAAATGGTAAGACTGTGACATTTTTTTTTTGATGATCAGGACATGCCAGGGGTGGAGAAGGGAGTCTTAAGGTTTTAGGTGGGCGTATTCACTTCAGTTTAGAGTTCCAGCATGTCTGAGGTGGAGGTGGAGATTGAGGTGAGGATAGCTATGATTAGAGAAGGGGCGGGAGGTTGAGCAGTAGCTGCCAAACTAAGTCCAGTGACAACTGATTATTGGACAGGGCATGCCTGCTGATGGATGAGTAGGGAGGCCCTGGAAGACACATGGATAGATTAATATATTTGTCACATTGTTCCCTCCCTTCCCGCAGGAGAATGCAGCTGTCACGAGGGCTATTCTCCCGACCCGGTGCATAAACACCTCTGTGTTCGCAGTGACTGGGGCCGCAACGAAGGGTAAGTCCTGCCGGCTCTGCCCTGTACACGGACTGTCACCTCACTGACGAGACAAAAGGAGAAGAGGACAGTAGAGAAAGAGTGAGAGGGTGAGGAAGGGAGAGATGGAAGGGAGATGGAGTGGGAGGGAAAGATAGGGTAAAAGGGGAAGGGAAGGAGATGGAGAGAGGGAGAGCGTATGATAGGGAGTATAAGGAGAGAAAGAGAGACAGAGAGAGAGGGAGAGAGAGAGCTGATGCCTCCATCACCTCGCCGTGTGCCCAGTCAAGTGTGAGCCCTCTTCCTGACTCGGACTGCATGCTAATTAACTCGACTAGCTCAGCAGCTGGGCAAATAAAATACCAGCCTCCATTAGCTATGCAAATCCCGCATCATCAGTTGGACTCAGTCCCTACCTGCCAATCACAGATCCAATCCGTCTTCACCAATTCAGGAGCAAAGGAGGATAATCTTTGGTATTTAAAGCCAGACAAAATTGCATAGCATGACCTTGCAACTGGTTTGTACTGTGCATGTATATCAACTCACTGATGTATTAACATGTTTTGCATGGTATATTAACATTTTCCTGCCTCTTACTTTTAGAAATGTTTGCTTATTTTGTTCTTGCATGAATGTATAAGGATTGTGTTTATACATGTGCATTGTTCAGTGTATTGTGTATAAATGTGTCCTCTACCTCCCTGCTCTCTCCCCAGTCCCTGGCCCTACACCAACCTGGAGAAGGGTTATGACCTCGTCACAGGGGAGCAAGCTCCAGAAAAGATCTTCAGGTGAGGAGACATGTGAATCCATGTGAATCCAAGCACCCTCGCCTGAGTGCTTAGCTGGTGGTCTGCCAAAAGAATGTATTTCCAGTCAACTACACTGAAGTCAGGGAACCAGATATGTATACACTACCAGCCATCAACACACACTATGGGAACTGGGACCGTGTGATTGTCTCCTCCGTACACCTGCCTCTGCTCCTGTTCTAAGCACAATAGTACACACACACACACACACACACACACACACACACATATATACAGATGCACGTGTACGCATGCACACACACACACACACACACATACACACACACACACACACACACACACACACACACACACACACTCCGAGGCAGCTATATGTACAGTATGTGGCCCTGTTAAAAAATAGCCAGAGGGGATGTCATGGGCAGGGCTTTCAAGTGCTCTTCGTGCCTGTCTTTGTGCCAGGGCTTGTCCTGACAGGCACATTCTCTCTGACATGTTCCTGAGTAGTGTTAACACAAAGGCACCATACAGGTAGATGTAGCTGTGCCAGTCACTAGAGCCTTCCAAGTGCTACCGAACCCTGCTTTCTACTTACATATTTCTTCTTTGTCCCTTCTGGGTGTGTTCTAATTGGGAAGGTCATGTTCACTTCAGAAAGAGGTGTCAGAGGAGGTATTTTACAAAAAAAAAGAGACTAGGTGTGGTAAGGGTGAAACAGTAAATACTATGAAATGGGGCTGTGGGTTTTTATGGCACCGCAGAATAATCTTAAATCCTATGATGAATTTGTCGCTCGGAGCCACTACCCTGCAGATGAGATACATCATTATATTTCAAATCTTGCCTTTCAGTCAAACTGTTGTCAGAATCCCTACATATCTATACCCAACTTTCCATGAATAAGCTGTTTATCCTGGCATCATCAAATGCCTGTTGTGGAAGTTTAGGGGGCAGAAAACCCTGAGGATATCTCATATTTATTTTACTTACCTGAGATGTCATCATTCTCTGCTACTCTCCTACATGCACACTAGCACCACCAACACAGACACACACACACACACACACACACACACACACACACACACTCAGCACACACACGAACACACACACAATAACACACATCTTTGGTAAAGCCTCCCGGTGTGTGTGATGGATAGGGAGAGGAGCAGGGGCCGATCAATGGGCTCCAGAGTGAGAGGTCGGAGGGAGCCGGGGACTGGCCGTCAGTGTCTTATTTATGAGTGGATATGGCTATTGATCAGGCCTGAATCATTGTGTTCCTGTCGATATCCCAGGTCAAGGCCGGTGGCACGCTGCCCACTCCTCCGAGCACCTCTCTAAAGGACTATTGACAAAGAGCTTATAAAATTAGATATTGGCTGAAGTCCCCATATCATAATTCTGGGATGGCAAGGGTTTAACGTCAGTCACAAGGCAATGACAGCCACCCTAAGCCACATTGAGTAAAATATTAGCAGGAGATGTTATTATGATTCATAGTAGATATCTTTCAGTATTTGATAATGACTCACAATATACATTAGATTTTAATACAATTCTCTGAAATTGAGTTATTACCTTTGCAGATATAATCTGTGTATTCAAGATTTCCGTTTATACCTTATTTATGGTTGTGGTTCTTATTCACTGATAATGAATGGAAATGCAGTTTTGATTCAGCCCACAATTTAGTAAATTTTCACTTCATATTCCCAGTTCCATTAGCAGAAAGAAACATTTGCAGCTCGAGCTAATGACCCAAGTTTTTCAGAGAACATTTGGTGCTTGATCAGCAATCAAACTGCACACTTAGTGTTTACACACAGAGATGAACTGTCATAAACTGGATGTAAAATATTTAACATGTTTAATGATAATTGTGTAATATGGTATAATGTTAATTGGCGTGGTAGAACTGCTGACTAACACTGTTGAATGACTGATGATACTGATGAAACTCGCACAGCATTGGTCAGGTCATGTGGTCAGAAAAATATTAAAACATTGTGCACAGTAGCATGGATCAACATCCTCTTATCTCAACTTTCCTCATGTAAGCACTAGCTTTTTAGTTTAATGCTAAACACTATTTAATGATATGCATTTTGGTGCCACCTTCACATTGCTATCAATCCAGATGGAATTGACTCTTGGCTCTACGTCAAAATGACAAGCCCTTACCAGCTGTCATAATACTGACTGATTTATATTTTGCTGACTGTTTAATATGGAGTCTGAGCACATTGTCGTCTTTTTTACACTTAAGCATCTTGTTGTCTCTGTGTCAACACAGGTCGTCCTACAGCCTGGGCCAGGGTCTGTGGCTGCCAGTCAGTAAGAGCTTTGTGGTGCCACCGGTGGAACTGTCAATCAACCCCATCGCCAGCTGCAAGACTGACGTACTGGTGACAGAGGACCCTGGGGACATCAGGTCAGTTTACCTTTAAAAATACGTATGTGTGGGTGGATATTTCTTTCCTGAGACCTGATCTAAGGTCAGTTTACTTCTAAAAACACCTCTGTATTTGTTTGTTGAAATGTCAGATCTCTGGTTTAGGGCAAGTTCTGCCATTAGCTAACACCTCAATCACAATTTGTCTATCATTCTTTCCCAATTTTCATAAGGAGTCTTACCATTTACTTTTCATTCTGTAATTACAACATGATTAATAAGATACACACGTTATTTCATATTCAAGACTATCATATCCAGGTGTCACTTGGGTCATGTTAGTATGCATAGCATTGGAGATGTATCCTGTCATCCCACAACAGAGAACTGCTAGCCACAGCACAAATGCTGTCAGTGACATCAGCAAATTATGTCAATAACTAAGTGGTTGTTGATGGATAGATATGGTTATGCATTCAATCTAACACGGTCTGACACACTGTATATTTAAGTTATAATGCCCGAGAAGCATGGAGGATATATTGGCACGGGTGTTGTTAGGCCCGAGGCGATGTCAAGGGCAGGTAAACCATGCCAATATTTCCTCCAAACACCGGCTTCGAGGGCATTATAACTTTTATACAACGGATTATGATGTACAATGGCGCCTGAGGGGAAGGCTGCCGTTTTATGGACTCTTAACCAACCGTGCTATTTTGGGTGTTTTTTCACATTGTTTGTAACTTATTTTGTACATAATGTTGCTGCTACCGTCTCTTATGAGTGAAAAGTGCTTCTGGACATCAGAACAGTGATTACTAAATTTGATAATAAAGTGGACAAACTACAGGCACGTATATCCTACCAACAGGGCATTAAAAACTGTAATATCTTATGTTTCACCGTGTCGTGGCTGAACGAAGACATGAATAGCATACAGCTGGCAGGTTATACACTGTATCGGCAGGATAGAACAGCAGCCTCTGGTAAGACAAGGGGTGGCGGTCTATGTATATTTGTAAACAACAGCTGGTGCACAATATCTAAGGAAGTCTCAAGGTTTTGCTCGCCTGAGGTAAAGTATCTCATGATAAGCTGTAGACCACACTATCTACCAAAAGAGTTTTCATCTATATTCTTCGTAGCTGTCTATTTACCACCACAAACTGATGCTGGCACTAAGACCACACTCAATGAACGGAATTGCCATAAGCAAACAGGAAAACGCTCATCCAGAGGTGGCGCTCCTAGTGGCCGGGGACTTTAATGCAGGGAAACTTACATCCGTTTTACCTTATTTCTACCAGCATGTTCAATGTGCAACCAGAGGGAAATACATTTTAGACCACCTTTACTCCACACACAGAGACACGTACAAAGCTCTCCCTCGCCCTCCATTTGGAAAATCTGACCATAATTATATCCTCCTGATTCCTGCTTACAAGCAAAAACTAAAGCAGGAAGCACCAGTGACTCGATCAATAAAAATGTGGTCAGATGAAGCAGATGCTAAGCTACAGGACTGTTTTGCTAGCACATACTGGAATATGTTCCGGGATTCTTCCGATGGCATTGAGGAGTACACCACATCAGTCACTGGCTTCATCAATAAGTGCATCAATGACGTCGTCCCCACAGTGACTGTACGTACATACCCCAACCAGAAGCCATGGATTACAGACAACATCCGCACTGAACTAAAGGATAGCGCTGCCACTTTCAAGGAGCGGGACTCTAACCCGGAAGCTTATAAGAAATCCCGCTATGCCCTCTGATGAACCATCAAACAGGAAAAGTGTCAATACAGGACTAAGATTGAATCATACTACACCGGCTCCGACGCTTGTCGGATGTGACAGGGCTTGCAAACTATTACAGACTACTAAGGGAAGCACAGCCGCGAGCTGCCCAGTGACACGAGCCTAGCAGACAAGCTAAATTACTTCTATGCTCGCTTAGAGGCAAGTAACACTGAAATATGAATGAGAGCATCAGCTGTTCCGGACGACTGTGTGATCATGCTCTCCGTAGCCGATGTGAGTAAGACCTTTAAACAGGTCAACATTCACAAGGCCGCAGGGTCAGACGGATTACCAGGACGTGTACTCCGAGCATGCGCTGACCAACTGGCCAAGTGACTTCACTGACATTTTAAACATCTCCCTGTCTGAGTCTGTAATACCAACATGTTTCAAGCAGACCACCATAGTCCCTGTGCCCAAGATCACTAAGGTAACCTGCCTAAATGACTACCGACCCGTAGCACTCACGTCTGTAGCCATGAATTGCTTTGAAAGGCTGGTCATGGCTCACATCAACACCATTATCCCAGAAACCCTAGACCCACTCCAATTTGCATACCGCCCCAAAAGATCCACAGATGATGCAATCTCTATTGCACTCCACACTGCCCTTTCACACCTGGACAAAAGGAACACCTATGTGAGAATGCTATTCATTGACTACAGCTCAGCGTTCAACACCATAGTGCCCTCAAAGCTCATCACTAAGCTAAGGACCCTGGGACTAAACATCTCCCTCTGCAACTAGATCCTGTACTTCCTGACGGGCCGCCCCAAGGTGGTAAGGGTAGGCAACAACACATCTGCCATGCTGATCCTCAACACGGGGGCCCCTCAGGGGTGCGTGCTCAGTCCCCTCCTGGACTCCCTGTTCACTCATGACTGCATGGCCAGGCACGACTCCAACACCATCATTAAGTTTGCCGATGACACAACAGTGGTAGGCCTGATCACCGACAACGACGAGACAGCCTATAGGGAGGAGGTCAGAGACCTGGCCGTGTGGTGCCAGGACAACAACCTCTCCCTCAACGTGATCAAGACAACGGAGATGATTGTGGACTACAGGAAAAAGAAGAGGACTGAGCAGACCCCCATTCTCATCGATGGGGCTGTAGTGGAGCAGGTTGAGAGCTTCAAGTTCCTTGGTGTCCACATCACCAACACACTAACATGGTCCAAGCACACCAAGACAATCGTGAAAAGGGCACAACAAAACCTATTCCCCCTAAGGAGACTGCAAATATTTGTCATGGGTCCTCAGATCCTCAAAATGTTCTAAATTTTTTTAACATTTTAGTCATTTAGCAGACGCTCTTATCCAGAGTAACTTACAGTTAGTGAGTGCATACATTATTTTTTTATACCCCCCCCCCCCCCGTGGGAATCAAACCCACAACCCTGGCGTTGCAAACACCATGCTCTACCAACTGAGCTACATCCCTGCCAGCCATTCCCTCCCCTACCCTGGACGACGCTGGGCCAATTGTGCGCCGAACCATGGGTCTCCCGGTCGCGGCCGGCTACGACAGAGCCTGGATTCGAACCAGGATCTCTAGTGGCACAGCTAGGACTGCAATGCAGAGAGCATCCTGACTGGTTGCATCACTGCCTGGTATGGCAACTGCTTGGCCTCCGACCGCAAGGCACTACAGAGGGTAGTGCGTACAGCTCAGTACATCACTGGGGCCAAGCTTCCTGCCATCCAGGACCTCTATACCAGGCGGTGTCAGAGGAAGGCCCTAAAAATTATCAAAGACTCCAGATACCCTAATCATAGACTGTTGTCTCTGCTACAGCACGGCAAGCGGGACCGGAGCGCCAAGTCTAGGTCCAAGAGGCTTCTAAACAGCTTCTACCCCCAAGCCATAAGACTCCTGAACATCTAATCAAATGGCTACCCAGACTATTTGCTATATTTTCATGAATTTATTCATACTATTTCATCCTTACACAAGGTATAGTCCCGACACAAATCTAGGATTGCTACCCAAGCCGGCTGGTCGTTTGTTCTATTGGTTCGGTTGCCAGAGACGTGACCCAGTCTTTTTGTTCTGTATCTATGGACGAGACCTAGTTGTTTGTTCTAAATTTTCCATTGCCATACTCGCTGGCAACGTTCTTATCCCTTGCTTGCTAGCTAGCCAACTACGGCTAACTTACAGTCACGTCAAAAAGTGCAGCCAGAATAACAGCAAAGTAGCTGCATTTGCATTTGTTTAAGCTCTTTTCTAGATACATTTATTTGGATATATCCATAACAATGAGCTAATGAGGCGTGATTACGCCTGGCATTGAAAATGTGCTCTCTCGTCAGGACACTGTTGTTCAGAGGAGCTAGCCAACAACACAACTAACACAATCACTTCAAACTGAAAATTGACATTTATTTGTGTATATCCATAAAAATGTTGCCAGCCTATTCATGATTTTGATTGGTTGAGAAATGCTGCCTGTCTGTCTCGTCCCGACACTTTCATTACTATGGGACAGCTGGAGATCGAATTTGAATATTGAAACCATGTTGTAAATGTCGGAGAGACAGACAGCAAAGTTTATACAAACCTCCGCTGTTGAAAACTAAATGTTAGTCTAAAAAAATTTGAGATAATGTCTAGGTGCTTTTTATAGTGGAGATCAAGTTTATAAATTGCCTGGCTGGGCTGATGAGACAGTGGATTGCACAGTCAGATGGAACATAGTAAATAGGCATTTTAACGTCATAGATTTAACCGGTGGTAACTTGTAGAATAGACAACGGCTGGAATGCGTTTTTAACCAATCAGCATCCACCCGTTGTTTAATCTATAATAGTGCATCCGCAGGCAACAATGATAAAACCACTTTCCAGCAATGTCTTGTTTTACAATTGTTTGAAAACTACTTTATAGTGTGTGGTCCATAGGTGATACATGTACTAACTGTCACAACATTAACATATGGACATAACATGGCGACAAGCATCAATTAATTAGTTATTCTGGTGGAGAGGCCTAATTGAGAGTCATTCACACCCTTGGCAATAGTGTACATCTGTGCTTACTACTGCAAAGTTCCTATCCCAGAAATAGGATTACTATCACACTGCCAATTATTTAGGATGTGCGTTTCAATCAGCTTGAACTGAGGAAACTCCGAAGAACAATGTTTAGCTCAATAAGAGTGTCACTGATTGTTCCTTACAGTTAATATTGAATAATGTTCTTTCAGAACCTTTCTCAGGAAAGCTACATTA